CCAAGTATAGAGGTATTGTTACGGTTTGACCGTTATTTTAGCTTAGGAGGAAACCTAAGCGTTTAATTAGGAATAATTACGATAAGACTGAAAGAGGAAGGATGGGCAAATAGAGATGAAATGGCACTACTAGCCAGGAGGTCGAAGCAACATCATAGCGTAATGGCTCCTGATAATACTTGGCTCGGTAGCAAGTATTAGGCCTAGGGAGAAGTTATCAGTCAGCAGATTCACGAAGCGGACCAAACGTTACAAGTACCTGTTAGTAGTAGCTAGAGATTTCTTTTCTCTTCATATAGTTTAATAAATCGATTTATTCATTACCAACTCGGTTTCCGTCACAGGTATAGAATACGATGGAGAATATCCCGCAGCTATGAGCCAAGCATTTGTGGCGTCCAGTGATGCTTCGTTTGCAGACGATCCTGAAACGAGGTACAGCTCCGGCGGATTTTGTTTTCAGCCCTTCAACAGCATGATTCACTGGAAAGTCATAAAGCAAAAATAGACACAACATCGGGTACTGAGGCAGAACTCCTTGCACTCACAATAACTGCGAAGGAATACCTATGGTGGACTCGACTTTTTCAAAATCTCAACTTAGAAATAAATGCACCCATCATATTATGCGACAATCAGCAAACTCTTAGATTATTGCAGAAAGAAACCCCGAAGCTGGCAACTCGACTAAAACATGTTGATATACATTAGTGCTGTCTCAGACAAGAAGTTCAGTGCGGTAGGATAAAAGTTGATTGGATAGAATCTAATAAAATGATTGCAGATGGTTTCACAAAAGCCCTTCCTCCACAGAAATACCGCATATTTGTCGAGCAAATGAATCTTGTGGACGTACATATCAACAATCCGAATTCAAGTCCAAACCAGTCCACTTAGACGTTCACAGCTAACAGCCTCGCATATTTGCTATCGAGTCTGTGGGGGTGTGTCAACCTAACCATGACCTGCATCCAAAGTGATGTGAAACCGACAAGAAAGTACATATAACCCTGCGGGCTAAGTCCGCCAAGATCCCACGTGAGAAATACTGAGCTCTAAACGTTTGTCAAGGGGAACTATTTCACCTACTCATGTAAACTAAGTTAGTCAGGTCACATGACCTGACTATCAGTACATATACTTCATCTGCAGCATCAGGGCAATCTAGTCAACATTTACAACGTAATACCGTGGCCCACGTATCTTTCTCAAGAACGTTTTACCTGAAGTTATCTGTGAAAATATTCTGTAACTGTTTGTACTCATGTAATCATGTACGAGTCGTATTCCTGTAACTATGTTACGGCGTGCGCTAAGGATACTGGGAATCGCCGTCTGCCGAAGGTAAGGTATTAATAACTGAGAGGATTATAGTTGCTAACGAAGGATACTTAGATATAATTCGATTGGCGAGGTGCCAGGTAGTCAAAGGTTGTAGATCTACAGGATAATCGAAAGACTGAGAATATCGGACTGTGAGAATATACGATTATAATATTATATAAATGCTAGATTGCGAGATCAGGGATCAAAAGAATGAAAGATTGAGAAGCTGGAGAGCTACTATGTGGCAGCTCCAGCTTCCTTAAGTCTAACTCGAGACAGTACTTGAACTCAACTAAGACTATGACAAATGCCGCCATGATGCCAGCCCTTCCATCTCTAACTGCAGGAGTTTTCTCAAAACCTTCTCCTATCACCTTTTCCTGAGAACCCTCCCCTTGGAACCTCTTCAAGGATGCCTGGCCATAACAAACTATCTATATTCGTGTTATCTACGACTCGTAAACTTGTACTAGTATTAGTCGCTCCTGACAGTTGCTGTTTGCGACATTGGAACTAATCATGTTATTACTTCATTCTTAGGACTATTTGACACATTAAGCTTGCACAATATTATGGGGAGATTATATGGTCTATATGTGGGTGATCGGATGAAGGACGGAAGGACTTGTATTTAAAGAGAGATGGAATACTTCATAAAGAGCAATCAATCACATTTCTTCACTCTGAGATAAACTTCTTAGTCCCGATTTATCAACAACTAACAATTCAACTGAGCCAGCACAACAGAGTGCAGTAAAGCCGTGTGCCAATTCAGAGAATCGTGGAATGAATTGTCTATAAAAATTCAGGAATCCGAGGAAAGATTTGACTTGCTTCAGGGTTTTTGGCTGCGACCACTCAGTAACAAGTGCTACTCTAGAAGGGTCAACTGTGATTGAGTTGTGCTGAATGATATATCCAAGGAACTGAGTTGTAGTAACTTTATATTCGCATTTGTCAACTCTTGTGTAGAGGCCATTTTTGCGAAGAATTGAAAAGACATTCTGAACGTGTTCAACAACTTCTTCTTTTGTATTTCTCCGGATGATTCAATCATCTAGGTAACATATCATGGTGTTGTTCAGGCTCATTAAAATGTCATCTATCCATGCCGTGAAGCTATCAGGAGCATTACAGAGACCACATGGCATCACTTGATATCAAACTGTGGATAGTTTGGGAGCGATAAATATAGAGTTTAAGGTGTTAGGTTTACAAAGCTTGGAGTTACTTGTTTCGGACAAAGGTGTTTCGCTTGGGCTGTAGCAATAAGAACTCTATCTGTTCTGACTAGAAATGTTTCGTTCCAAACCATGAGAAACTCGGTTCATGGGGACAAGTTGGGGACACATAGGGCATTTGCCATTTTCTGGACGTACATAATCTAACAGAAAGAGAAATAGCAGCCAGGAATTAATTGATACTTTTTACTTTTTACTTCTTACATTATTCAATTGACTCGTAGAGTCTAACAATATATCACAGTGGTTGATAGGACTTATATACACATATTTGGTACCCGCTATACAACGCATCACCTTCTATGCAGGAAGTACTACAATCTTAATTCCATGCCATACTATCCCATATTACTCTATGCCATTGTATAGAGCTGCACCCCAATAGTCGATCATAATGATCGTCATGTAGGGCTGTGCAGTTCTCGCATAGATGTATTGTATCCCTGGCACTTGCCAGAGATAAATTTTGAGTAAATGCAATAATCACATCACAACACGGCAATGAGATCACTTGAAAAGTCCATGACAACCTCATCAATTGATGAATTAAAAGTTGGAGCGGGGTTAATGATAACGGGAGGAGCTGGGAGATCGTTCCAGATTGATGATTTTAGTGTTGGTTGTTGAGATGATAATGGCAGAGGGCTGGATGTTGGATGAGGTGGAGAATTACCTCCGGAAATGGTCTTTTCGACATTTTCTGCTGAATCAGTCGATCAAATTGGCTGAAAATGATCTTAGTCGAATACGCGTGACGTAATGAATCTAAAGAAATTGTTTATATGATGATAGGACTCTATCGCATAAAGTTATCGGCGAAAAAGTGTCTTTAGAAAAATTGATCATGCGCGGATGAAGTCCAACCGCGGCAATACCGGCATCAGGACTAAAGCCAAAGACATAGTGACCCTTCTGAAGCGTTCAAATAGGCCGGCCAGCTGTGAACTGCAGACATATGTGTACCTCGAGAAATTCAGACTCTGCCTTTCCAGCATCCATCCAACACTTTCACAAAGGCCATTCTGTAATGTTAGAAAAGTCTTGAAAGAGCATGATTGCTGTATGATAGCTTAGCCTAACTTCTTTTACGCCGTCTGGGGTACAGTGGAGTGCCGTTGACTCATCGACAATAGAAGTCCTCCTGCCTAATTAGCTGAAACCTCAGCCTTGGCTCCCATTAACGTTCCAAAGTTGAAAACCACTTGAAGATCTCAATCCTAGCATGATCTTCAGAGACCTCATCCCTCTCTGGCTCCACATCTCAGCGGCCTGTCCTCCCTCAAGGTTGTTTGTCCCGTTAGAGTAGCAATCCCCCCTAAGCCAGGACCCAGGCTTAGTATTTTTAGACTTGATTTCCTCCTTGCGAGCATACGCAGCGTCATAAATATGTAGAGGGAGTTAGCAGGTAGTTATTGGAGTAAGCTCTCGTTTCAAATTGGAGCAACTCCTTTATCGGTCGTTGGGGCGTGATGGTGTGTGGTTAGAAAGAGGTTGAGTACTCAGATGAGAATGTTGAATGAGGTGTTATTGAGAAGTTTTTAAATGGAGATGTGCTTGAGATTGCTTTTGATTTCGATTCGGATGCGATTCTTTTTGGCTATCCCATACATGCAAAGCATACTAAGCGATTACCTCGGCAACACTGGAAGGTAAAGAATTCGTCTTGACTGGCACTTAGTATTCTATTCGGAATGATTTGCGCAAGGCTCAGTCTATCCTTGATCACGCAGTCTATCTAGTTATTTCTTTACACGGAATAGAGAATTCATCTTTTATTCACTTGTGCGAACAGCTAGCGTGACCAGTCTTTTTAAGATATTTTGTAATTTATTTTATAAGAATTTTTGTTTCAGAAAAAAAGTCACTAGAAAACATCAAGCCGCCACGAGGATAGCTTTTAGATAAACTCCGAAATTGTTAAATAAGATGTAGACCTTCATACATTGTCCCATTTGGCTGCTCATCATATCTCAATTTGCTAGATTCGTGTCTGTAGAAAAGTAGTGTTTTATATCTTGATCTACGTAGCAAGCGGTTTTACCGGAGAAGTTAATGAGCTTTGCGAATGTGCGGCCGAGATGCGCACACCTTATGTATTAGTAGATGAAATGGGTCTAGTTGGTTTACTTGTAACGAGTGCATTCCAATGATTAAAGCCGAGCTGAAATCGTGACTTTAGACCTCGAAACATGAAAGCTCATGTAGCAGCTAAAATCTCTATTGTAAGAACTTAGGATACAGGCCCAAATTATAGTCTTGAGCTTGTCACTTACTGTCAGCTGAAGCCTTCAAAAGCACGCGTTGCAGGCAAGAATGCCTATCAGCTGCCCCTCGCTTGCTCGTTCACTTCTGCAAGTCTATCCAAGTAAACCAATCATTTATCAAGAGTACAGAGATTTCTAAAACTGTAAGAAATATTTAAAAAAAAAGCTGATGGATCACCAAAATTGCCAGACTGCCAGCGTCCCTATCGCAAAAGAGCAGAAATATGATAGACAGCTTCGTCTTTGGGCTGCACACGGGCAACAGGCACTTGAGGAAGCCGAAATCCTTCTTATTAACACTGGTTCTGGAACTGTTGGTGTTGAAACATTGAAAAATCTTGTTCTTCCAGGTTTGCAATTGGAAAACCCATGAACTTAGTCGTCTAACAAGTCCATCGCAGGTGTGGGGAAGTTTACCATAATTGACGACGCAAAGGTTTGTGACGCAGACCTGGGCGTGAACTTTTTCCTGGACAAGAATAGCTTGGGATCATATCGAGCCGAATGTTGTGTTAGGCACCTCCAAGAACTAAATCCGGAAGTTAAAGGGGACTTTCATTCAGTCTTGGATGTAAGTAGGAATTATTACAGCTCATTTGAAACAATACTGATTTTTTATAATAGGTGAGATCATTCAAGAGTTATCTAGAGAATCGATCTTTTTCTTTCGTACTTCACACTTTTCCTATACGTCCTGATTTGCTAGCAATCGTTGAAAAACATGTTGCTTCCTACAAGATTCCATTAATATCTATTCACTCAGTAGGTTTTTACTCTTATTTTAAAATTAAACTACCTACTGTCCTACCTATAGTAGATACACACCCTGAATTCGAGGCTACCACCGATCTGAGGCTGCTCAATCCGTGGAAAGAGCTCTCTGAATATTCCGCAAGCCTTACCAAAGAAATTAAGACCCTTAGCGCTCATGAACACGGCCATATTCCTTATGTAGCGCTCTTGCTACATTTTTTGGATGAATGGAAAAAGATTCATGGAACTGTCCCCTTGAAGTATGCAGAAAAAAAGGCGTTTAAAGAGTTTGTTGCTGCCGGGGCGCGCGAGGTGGGCGAAGAAAATTTTGAAGAAGCAATTGCTGCTATAATGAAAACAATAAAATCTCCATCCCTTTCGAGCTCGATTCGGGAAGTGTTTGAACATCTTCCTCAAGACGTGCGTTGGGGAAATTCTCAAAGGAACAGGCGACTAATCCTTGGAATAGCCTGAATCAAACTTGAGCTTTTGGATTATTGCTGATGCTATCAAACAATTTTATGCAAGGCACAAAGTGTTACCTCTACCCGGATCCTTACCAGATATGAAGGCAGAGTCTACTGTTTATGTCAAACTACAGAATATTTATAAGGCAAAATCACGCCAAGATGTTGCTGAAGTCCTTGAATTAATCCAAAACCATCCTAGCTACAAAATTGTTTCAAAGACAGACGTGGAAGACTTTTGCAAGAATGCAGCTTTTGTCAAATTGATACATCCATCAGATGATACAAAATTAGACATAAAGGCCATTGTTGGTAGGAAAAAGAACTATCTATAAATAAATGATTCATGCTGATAATAAAAAAGAGAAAGAATTAATTAACGATGATCCTTCTCTAGACTTACAACCGCCTTCACTCCTTCCGATTTATCTAGCACTGAAGGCCACATCTCATGTAAGTGCGGCAAGCTCAACAGATATACTTGCCATAATTGAGGAGAATACACCAAAAGCAGCTGCTCTTAAACGTGTCCGAAGTATTTCTGAAGAGGTTGCTCGGGCCCGAGGAGGTGAACTACACAATATTTCAGCCTTTACCGGTGGCATGGTTGCGCAAGAAGTAATTAAAATCATTACAAGACAGTACATACCTATAGATAACACTTGCATATTTGATGGCATTACAAGCAGGATACAGGTCATAAATTTGTAGTCAATGACTGGTTTTAAGCGAAGAAATGCAACAGTCAGTGACTACGATTTTTACAGCGGCCTCTTTGAAATAGAGTATTAACCTAATCTCTGACGGCAGCTTTCTCATAGAACCTATCCAGGTTGATGGTAGTTTTAATAAATAACTAAAATCAGATTTTCCTGGCTCATCAGGCATGGCTTACAGCCAAACAGGAAAACAGAAGGATGGTTAAAGCCTATCAACATTTGCTAGATAAAAATGTATATTATTCAATTGCTTTAATTATTTACTTCGCCAAGATTGGTGCTGATTCCTACCAGTAGTGGAACATGTTTTCTATAGGGTTCTTGCAACCGACCCAATTTGGATGTTAAACTAAGGCATGAGGGTCATAGACCATAAGAAATTATCTAGTTTTGAGAGAATATGTCCAGTATGACTTCCCAATGTTTGGATTATTGTAATCGAATGCTTATCCAAAAATTGCGGGTCTATTCTCAACACCTATCAGTGGTGTCCCCTACGAACCTCCAGCTCTCACTGTAGAGTCTACAGAGCCGAGATTGAGTAACAAAGTCCTCACTTCGATGAGGATTCCCAATCGCTTTCACGGTCTATATCGTATTCATCTCTCAACACGCTTCCCAATCACCGTTTTTACGAAGCTAACCACGATCGGATCAGAAGTTGGGGTCGAAGCCCTTCTCATCACCTGCCCTTAATCTCGGAGGAAAAACCATCCGATGAGTTTTTGGAACGTATCCAGCACCTGATATGGAGATGGTGGATAGGATCAAGTCGGCCTCGACTGTTACATAGAATGGAGATAAAGATGAATTATGCGCACCTCATGTGGTCCCAGTGTCTAGACCTCGCCTGGCTGGGGTTGCAGGTTCTTTGAGACTTTTTCCTGCGCACGCAGTTTCCATTGCTACCATTTTATTTTTGTCTGGGTAGAAGGTTCAGTGGAAAAGGTGGCTGAGTTCCACGGGTAAACACTGAGCTGAATGACTATTCATCAAGGGGAATACATCAATGATCTTTCAAGTAACAAAAGAGGATAGGAGCACTGAGCAAGGTGTGGCCTGGATCAGGGAGGGGCCCAATCTATTTTCTTGTGCAACAGGTTTCAATTGCGTATGCAGCTATCTAGATATGACACAATATCAGATAAGTATATAATAGATGACTCATTTTACAAATAGAGCACTCATTCCTCGTATTTCATTTGCAAGTACCACTGCGAAGTTATGGCGGCTTTTTCTTCACCCCAAGTCGACCCTCATTCGTGAATACCCACCCAGGGGAATGTCTCAAAAACCCTGAGTTATCCAGGCATGCCTCCGTCATCCACTGAACTTTCCCCGCGCGAAAAGTAATCTTAGGTGTCTCCTTTTGAGGTTGAGTGGATACCCAGACTACCCAAACTTTACCAGAGAACACCACCAAGAGGCGGACCACAACACCTTCCATCGTTTGCTTGTGTTTATAGTATCGCCTGCAATTTTGCAGGTGAAGTCTTGGCGCACAAAAATCTCAATTCGTAGAACTCCTTGTGTAAATTCGGAAATCCACGCCCTTCAAGAATGTATCTCTCCTCTGCATCATCTTGTGAACTTGTCCTGATCCCTCTCACGTTCATCCCAAAGAACTGTCTCCCAGATTTGTGCGCCACGCTTTGCTTCCTCCGTCGGCTGTAAATATCGGCGTGGGCGTGTATTTGGTGGTCAACTGAGGCAAGAGAAGGTCGAAGAGAGGCGTAGTCATTGGGTGGAGCCCAATCTACTAGGTGGTCTTTAAATCACGTAGCAATAAAGAATCCATCGAACAACAGATGTGAGAATAAAGAAACTCATTGTCTTCGGTACTAATCATTCTCAATGGACACCATAGTTCCAACCGCTTCATCCATCAGTGCGTGCACTGTTGGCAAAAACGTTATGTGTCTATTCTCACAAGCGAAACATTTATCGGACAGCTTGACTCTTGCGGACTGCACAAGATTCCAGCAGGACAACAAGAACAACATTAATTAGACCATGATAACACTTATTCATGTTCCATCCTGCAATCTTGTCGTTTTCGAAGAACTAAATAGTTCTTTGGGGGTTTAAACTTTTATTGGGGCTCGCATCTCAAGTCCTATCTTTTTTTTATCATGACCTCCACTCAATATAAAATTCGGACTCCTGAGGAAGCTGGTAAGATTTTTCGCTACTATCCCACATCATCACGATTTTAGGCTTACCGTGAGGTTCGGTTAAAAAGTCGCCAGAATTTCATACCTTTCGAGTGATGTGATTGTCTCTGTCCAACCTTCAAAGTCCACCGAATCAGAATTTTCCTCTCATCTGCAAAGATATGCAGGTCGTAAGGATAAAGGCCTGGTTTCTGGTTCTGTACCAGAGGTACAAAGACCTTTAACCCTCTTTGAAGACAATTACAAAAATAAACTAACAGTGCTCAAGATTCTGGTCGTACGACACAATGCGGATCCTCTATTATCGCTTTTCACTCCTATTAAAAATAAGAAGCTTGTATCCGTCACCACAACATCAACAATTCTCATATCCTCTGTATCTTACCTACACAGACTCTCTCAATCACCTGTTGTCCTTCATGTGTCTCTTTACCCGCCCAGCTACCCATGTTATTCCTCGATCACAGCAATTAGAAATACAGGCTTCATTATTCTTCACTCCAACACCTTACAAGAAGCCCAAGATATGGCTCTGACAGCCCATGCACTGGCTATTAATACTGGTAAAGGTGTAGTACATTTTTTCGATCCTAGCTCTTGCACACAGGATGACGATCAGATATCGTTTGAGGATGTAACTGTTGTCGAGAATATCCTCAATATGGATGCTGTAACCGCATTTCATCGCTCAGATAATGATGGTATTGGTATCTATGCCGATACTGGAAAGGTAGCTACAATTTCAGAACCTATCGTCACCCGATCTCTCTCACATGTGTCCCCAGAGAGTGTTAAAGTAACCATGTCTCCTACATTAGAGCCTGCCAAAGATCTAAAGCTTAGAAACCTTTCTATATATTCCACAAAAGAAAACGGTCGCAGGAGTAATGAGAGTTTGAGATCTAGTAATTCCCTTGAAAATTTGACTGACTCGGTAACGGTGCGAGCTATTACATCTGATGATATTTACGATATCGTTGTTTCAATTTGGGCACGTATCCGGCAAAGTCTTGGGCGAGAGTATACACCGTTTCAATATTTCGGTTCACCCAATGCAGAGAAGGCTATATTTGTCTTTGGTCCGGATGTCCGAACTATTATCAAAACACTGGAATCTGCAAAGTCAAGGGATGTTTATTTCAAGGCTGGAATTATCAAAGTAAGGCTGTATAGGCCATGGCTAGGCTCAAAACTAATTACAGCTATTCCAACTTCAGTAAAAAGGATTGCAGTGCTCGAACAGATTCGTCACAAGACAACGAAATGGGGCTCTTTACTCCTTGATCTTCTTACAACCCTCAAATCTGGTCCAGGTGGTGGTGTGGATACAATCGTAAGATACCAACTAGGCTACATTGCTCCGAGCACCGTACGCCAGGCTTTGCTTGGTGTTTTTCAGAACTTAAATTCCAGAAACCCGGTTCAGAATCTTGAAGTTGGTAGCCATTCTGGTCCAGCTCAGGACCAGAACTCTAATCAAATATCTCAACCCAAGCTAGAAACAGCATATATGAAAATTTTAGAACAAGTCTTTGGAAAGAGATTGTATATAGCAAATAATAAATACGTACAAAACGTTGGAATATCATCTTTAACTATGCAAAGTCCAGAGTTTGGATTTGGAGCACTTTTTGCAAGAAAGAAACATCGCCAGCGATTCATAAAAGAAGTTGAAAAAGCTATTATTTCTAGTGAATTTAATGAAGATTCCCTAAAGACTTGGCTTTCAAAGTGGACTCCAAACTCTCCGGAAGAAGTCATTGATGAAATTTTAACACGACTCGAAGCGGATGGTTCATCATTGTCCAGAAGTCTACTCGCAGATAAAGGCCTTTTTGTAAATGAAACATTTTGGCTAATTGGATCCGACGCATGGGCATATGATTTTGGCAATTCCGGCATTCACCATGTTATCACGTCCGGTCAGAACATTAACATGCTTATTATTGATTCAACACCCTATTCTCTGCGTGTAGCTGATGACGCGGAGCGAAGAAAGAAAGATATCGGGGTTTATGCTATGAATCACGGGAATACATATGTTGCTTCATGTGCTGTTTATAGTTCTTATACTCAAGTACTTCAGGCGATGATTGAAGCTGATAAATTCGATGGTCCATCTGTTGTACTTGCCTATCTTCCTTATTTCAAAGAAGAAGATTCTCCATTGGTTGTACTTCAGGAAACAAAAAAGGCCGTTTCGATTGGGTACTGGCCTTTATATAGATGGAAACCTGGTAATGAATCAAATGACGCGCCAAATTTCTCACTAGATTCCGAGTTTATCAAACAAGAGATAAAAGAATTTTTGGATCAAAATAATCACCTTACACTGCTGACAAAAAAGAACCCTGATATATCATCGGCAATCGCGAAAGACTGCGGCAGCGAAATAAGGGATTTACAGATTAAAAGAGCTAAGGATGCTTACCAAAAACTGCTTGAAGACACAATGGGTGCACCGCTCACAATTCTATTTTGTTCAGAAAGCGATGATGCACAGAAGCTGGCAAATCGTTTAGGAAATAGAGGAAAATCGAGGGGACTTAAAACAGCCGCTATACCAATGGAATGTTATCTGGTCGACGAACTCCCGCGTGAAGAGAATATCGTTTTCCTCACTACCACCATAGGTCAAGGTGAGTTTCCACCGAGTAGTAGAGTATTCTGGAACTCTATCAGGGAAGCTACATATCTTGATCTTTCTTCGGTCAAGTACTCTGTATTTGCCCTCGGTGATAGTCAATACTGGCCTTGTTCAGAAGATAAGCATTATTACAACAAAGCTGGCAAAGATCTTGATATGATCCTGATGGGCTTTGGTGCTAAGCCTTTAACAAACATCGGTTTAGGAGATGACCAAGATCCTGATGGCATTGAGACAGCCTATCAGATCTGGGAAGAACTTCTCTGGCAGGCCCTAAGCGTTGATAAAGTTGTAGAACTTCAAGAAGAGCCACCATCAAACATCAACGAAGATGTAAAATTGACTTCAACTACCTTTGGGGTACGATTAAAGAAGCCCGCGCTAATATAAGCAAAGGTGCCTTCTCCGTAAGTAATCAACAACTAACTGGGTTTAACGGTGCATGCATGCCAAGTAATAGTAATCTTTGTTGTTAGTGCAAAGATCCAGGCCTTCAGAGTGCCTACTAATTAATAATTTGACACTAAATACCTAGCTGTGTTGTAACGCCTCAGAAATGGGTTTAAATTGATCTTGGAAGTAAGTTTGGAGATAGTAACACGAAGTTGACCACTTGTCCAACTTTTCGGTTACATGAACTTATCAATGGTAAATCCAAGTCAGCAAGAAAAGGCGTTAACAAAGCTTTTATGACTATCCTTTTTTCCTGCAGTAATTTAAACCAAAGTGAAACGTGCCTTCGCCTACTTAATACCCCAATGTACAATAAGTAGATAAGTGTAATCCCGGAAAAAGTATCTAACAATCATACAACGTCAAACACTACACCATGAATTCGACTCAGTGAGGAAAAAATAATATTTTGATGAATACAGATCTTGTTACGGGGTGTAAGCCAACTTATGGGGCCACATGCTTGCCTTGTAGATGGAGATTTTCTCTATCCAACCCCCCACAAAATAACATGAATATCTTAATGCATGATGTCGGACCTATAACTAGTAAAGATAAATAAAAGTGATCAGGTTTACAGTGCCCACTATTATGATGATGGTGTTACTCAGAGATAAAAAGTGGAAAGCCAGCACTGGATCTGGGCTAGGGCACATCTTCAGTTCTCGAGTACAGATTGCATTCGATACGGCAGTACTTATTTAACAAAGTCATGGCAATTGCAAGTATCGTAAGCTCAGGCGTGTCAAGTATATACTTGATAATATGGTTGTCGAAGTATTCAAGTGTGCAACGGCACCAATGAAGAAAGCTTGTACGTTGTTGTAAAGATAATTTAAATATCATCTACAGATTAAAGTCACTCCCACTAATAGTGCCGTGACTATATACACATTTTGTTATCCCGAAAACTAGAGTCTAATCTCCAGACGAACCGCTACTATCAAGGTGTGAATTTGTTCCTAATATCACTACAGGCACCGGCATTGCCCGAATCAGGAATACCAAGACTGGACACCTGTACGAGCTTAGGAGTAACAATTTTTCTCAGAGGCAAGTTCAGGCAAAACTTGCAATATCAAAGTAGTTGATCCAATGGGCGATGATTCAACATATTCCGCCATGTCAATTTTTCACTCTCAACGAGATCAATTCCTACCTAAGCCTCATAAAGTTTGCAAGTACGACGTAGGAAATCCACATTTCAATGACCAAACCTCTCGACTATTCTCTGCTCTCAACTGGCCACGAAGTATACGGCCACGACAATACGAATACTCGTCGTCGGACAAAAATGGTGGCGCACAAATCCGGGAGGCATTTTTTGGGATGGATGAGAGAAGAATCGGGATAAGTTTACAAGATGATATAGAGGATGGAAATAATCTCGAAAGGCGTGAAGTTTTGCCTTGGCAAAGAGCTCACAAACAAAGCACTGTACGCGCGAAGCTTCGGACCGCGAGAGTGCAGCCTACCCGATGAGAGGAAGCCAACGACGGAAGGCGTCACGGTCCGCCTCCTCGTGGTATTCTCCGGTAGAGGTTGGGTGGTATGAGATAGCTGGGAGCCTGACGTGCGAGAGGCGAAGGTTATGTAATTAGAGGGAGTGATAACTTGGTAAATGTCGGCAAAAAGATCGTATTTGGGCAGTATGAGTCGTTCCGATTGCGGTATTCAGGTTGTCGTGAGGACACTGACAGGGATCTGACTTGACTCGATAGCGAGGCGCTTGGAGTAGAGAAGGGATAGAAAACGTTTTATGTATCTCGAGATACCAGTTAATTGACTTTATTCACCGACTTCGTGAAGCCACCCAATTTGTATTACTTCGTGTTTTACCAACAGTAAAAACAACTTGATTCCTATTTCTCGCGGAATTTCAGGACTATCTACACTGATCACCATTTACTTGATCCCTAAATACAGAGTGCAAGCACTGACCGAAGCAAACAACCCACGTACGCATGGATACTCGCTATTTTGGACCCGAGACATTTGCCTGTCCAGCTTCTTCGGCAGTTACTCTTGGTCTTCGACAGGCAGCCTAGAGACCTGCCGCACTTGGGACGGAGACGGCTCAGATCATATTTCGCACGGCGACAAATAAGTGAATGGGAGCATGACAGTATAACTCGGGGTCTTGAAGATTTTCCCTCGGTAGGTATTCATGGATGAGGGCTGGGTGGGGATGAAGTGAAGCCCACCGTAACTTCGCCGCGGCACTTGCAAAAGAAATGCAAGGCATGATTGTTCTAGCTTGGAATCGAGGCATCCATTTTGTCCTTTATCCGTGACATTGTATCATGGCTAGATAGCTGTAAACACCTATAAAATGGCATGCAAGAAAGAGCGCGCGACTCCGAATGCCGGCAAAATTGAGCGTGGACGCCGTAGACATGCTTGTATTAGATAAGACAGTTTGCAGTAACCTTATCAGCCGACTGGCCGTCACACTGTCCAAAGTCCAGGAGAGAGAGACGTCGGGACGGAAATTTGACTCTCACCCATTCCGCAAGTCTCGACGCAGCATCGACAGTTTGGCCGGCTCAAAGTTAAGTTTGGCTGCCACGACTTCACGCTGATTAAAATGACCGAGGTGAAGGCCCTCTAGACATTCCCCCAAAATCAGCCTGGCAAGGTCTCGCCATGTAAATAAGCCGAATTTGGAATCATGGACGGCTAACATGCAATTCCCAGAGGCGTGGCGGAATCCGAGCTCATGCAAATGCAAGAAACGATGCAGAGTTACAAATCTGATTATCTTAGCTTCATTGTGCTGTAGCTCTCTTCCTCGGCCGTCGCCATATCTCCAACGTGCGGTCCTGCCAACATATATCTACTCAGTGCCTACCTACGCTACTCTTTAGCCTTGAAAGTGTGATGGATGCGGCTAGCCTGCAATAAAACAGTATTTTCCGCACGACTGACTGTCTTGATGAATAAGCGTGCTCCTGCCCTGCTAATCGAGTTTCCACGGGGTAATGGATCGGTGTGTGCGGAAGTCTCAAGAAATGGCTATCATCTTCAATGAGTGATTAATTGTAGCGTGGAAAGTTCAAAAATGCTGATAATCCTCATACCAGTAGACCTTTAAATCTACAATTTTCTGCGGGCGGAAAATATGTAAGATTTTTAGATATTTCAGTTTGGGATTTTACGTAATCAAAAGGTTATATAAGGGTCGTTGTCTTCGAGGTGGTGTATGTTGCCATGAAGTCAGTCTCCGAAACAGCTTGAACTTTTTGTGTAATGCAGTTGGTGGTGCATGCGACCAACTCTACATGCGCTGCTTTGCTTACTTCTAGTACGCTTTCCACACTGTGGTCTGGCGGACTTTGCTGAACATCAGTCAGGAGATAAACTAAAGTGGGCCAGGGATTGAAGAGACTCTATCCAACCGTATCTGTCGAACATTTGACTTCAAAATAATAATCGTATTTATCGGTTTTTTGATAATTTACATGTTGAATTTTTGCTTACTTCGCTTCCTGGTATTCTTGTGTTTAGCTTCATGTCCTTGCTTCATCTTGACAGCAATTTATACAACGATGGGTACTCCTTGCGAAAACTGGGACAGTCGCATAATTAAATCAATCTTCTAAAGATTAATCGATCGCAAGAGATTATCACAACATTTCGTAAAAGTTAAATCCACGGCTAGATGAAATAATTTGGATGAGTACAAGCGGCGTTAACGTGATTTTTATGCTGCGGCCATGATGCAAATTCTGGACATATCCGACAGCGTAACTGTTTATCCAGATTTCGGATGCATGATAGATAAATACTCGTCATTATTATTTTAATTTCTGAGTCTAAGACTACAAATGACATGCAGGTCCTATCTGCCTATAGGGCAAGGATAGCTTTGCTCGAAGTATATCCCCCCCTATGCCTCTCATACAGCTCCCCTCAAACAATACCAACCCTTACGAGTCCTCGTTCGATCATCCACTTAGAGGAGCCCTTTGCCCTTCATCATCTCCCCTCTCCAGCCAACGAAACGATGACCATTTGCAGGTTTATGGCAGGCGGAAAAAATCGCAAAGCACTGGGTGCGGGGCTTTTCTAGTACTGACTTTAGGGCTAGGTCCGAAGATATAGCTACCCTTCTGAAGCGTTCAGAGAAGCCGTCATGCTGAAAACTGCAGACTTTTAAGTACCCAGGAAAGTCACACTCTGCTTTACTTTCTTCTTTTCCACCCTTTCCCGAGGAGTATGTTGAAATTTAAAAAAGTCTTGACACGGTCTGTTTGCTGTATTGTAGCTTAGCCCTACTTCATTATGCCGTCAGGGATACTGGGAGTGCCGTAGACTCGTTCATGATCAAGGTTATCCTGGATTATCGTTCAAAATCGTGACTTTGTACCTTTAAATATCCAAAGGCCAAAAACATTAGTTCTATCATGCCCAGTATTTACCTCTCGCCTTTTTCATCGCACGTCTCAACTGCCTATCTTCCCTCAAGAGTTGGGTTTCGATGAGAGTAACAGTCCCCCGCAAGCCATACCCCGTGCTATGTATATTATGACTTGAATTACTTCTTGCCTGAATACGCAGTGTCGCAACTTTGTAGTGGGATATGGCTGTTGATTTATGAAGCAAGATCCCGTCCGCAAGTGGATAAACTCCTTGATCGGTGGCCGAGGGGAGATAGTCTGTACTGATATTAAATTTGAGGGCTAGCGTGAGAACGAAAGTACCGGTATTGATGAGAAGTCGTCAATTTTTGCTGTGCTAGCGTTAGCTTTCAATTTCGACTCCGATGGAATCCTTCATGGCTATGATAGAAACCCAGATCGGGCTGATTGTGAAAACCGGCAACCCTACTAGATGAAGGAATCATCTGTGACTGAGCCTCTGACAGTGTCCATGCTCTGAATGATACATGTAGGCCTGAATATTTAAAGGTTTTTAGACTTCACTATTCTTGGTTCTCTTATACAGGGGTCGGTTGTTTTGGACAAGTAAACGTGTTTTAGTGGTGGTTAAGAAAGACACATAGTATATGAAGGTCTCGGAAATCAAAACAGCCATCTAGTCTGCGCGCTACGTACTGTTATTTGTCATACCTAGATGATTGCAAACAACCTAAAAATTCAAACAGATAATATTGTAGAAATTACGCCTTGGGTTTATCTCATCGGTAGTAAGAATTAGAGCATACGGTAGTAACTATACCTAGTATAATGCTGGAATGCGTTAACAGCCTGTATATAACTTCATGGTATTCTTAATATGACGCCTCAATGACATTAAACAGTACTATTTTAAATATAACGTAATCCGGAACTCTCGATAACCTAACCTTGGTCATAAACTCCAATAATGCAGCTTGTTGATAAACTTTCTTTCTTTAAATGACTATCAGGCTTTTTGCATCCAAGGTAGGACCAGTATCTTTCGAATATTTGAAGTGACTCATTTCACGTCTGGGGCAATCCTTCTCAAAGGTTCCATTCGCAAATACCACGATGAATTATATCTTTTTACGCAAAATTGTTCAAGGTTTATGTGTATCATATGTGGAGGAAATTTCCACGACCTGTGCTTATGCAAGCATGCCATCGGTATCCTTTACACCAAAATTGAAAGCGATGTGGAAAGTTTGAACAGGTATTAAAGTCGTAATCTTTCGTCTAAGGTGGGATAAATATCTGATCTACCCAGACCAACATGAGAGATGGCCTCGGGTAATTAACAGCTGAAATTTTTTAGGAAACTTGTCCCAGTGCTAATAGATTGTAATACCTCAGACATACGGCCTTACAGTGCGCTTATTGATGCTGAGAAGGAAACTTGAAATCAAAATCGTGGATATTGGCAAGTTTTAATTAGACTTTCAAACCTGTTCCATGGTATGGTGACCAGATGCCGCGGACAGATTCCTGGAGTGATTGCACGGGTTTTGTGACTCTCTTTAACTTTTCTCCATTCGCATCACGAAGAAGATCTAATTTTTTTAAAATTTGCGCTTCATCCAAATTCCGCACGCAGATAGCTTTGTGTCTTCCATTTATGTAGTGGCCGATTATCACTGGGTGTCGGTTGGGCCGTGGACTGACAGTTATCTCAACTTGAGGGTTTTCCGCGGCAAATCTTTGAAGGTTATGCTTCAGAAACAGACTGAATGAACTCGTCAGCAAGATCCGACTAGATTTCTGACCAGTATTTACTTCATGCCCCTGGAACTTCCCCAAAAGTCACAGTAATGAAAGTCGATCCTTTTACAAGCTAGAATAAATGCTCCAGCAGTGCCATTCTATAAAATTCGTCATTCACAGCTCGTTCCATATTTGACAAAAACTCACTTGCGATATTGTGGTTTTACGGATTCCCAGAACCGGCATTACTACGATTTTGAATAGTTATTCTGGAAACACAATTTCAATCGGGTAAACGTGCTCGGAATTATGTTTGTTTTCAGTGCTAAGTGAATATATTCTACGCTATGTATGAAATGCGAATGCGGTTGTCGATGAATAAATGGCGTTGTGAGTTAATAATTTCCACGGGCTAACCAAACAAATGGCTGAGCGTACTTTGAACGTTATTATCACGTGATTTGGTTGAAAGGTAAACACACTGTCGAACACGGCAGAAACAGATTCAATATCTTTCTGTGGCGCCGGTGTTATCGCTCAGTATGTTTTGCATATCTGGGATAATCAAGGAGAATGACGTCCGAATGGAAGCCAAAAGCAAAATCAAGCATATCTAAAATCGACTACTTCTCGTCAATATCGGACCTATCACTCTCACGCGAGTCTTCTACCTCAATCTCACTACACCACCTCGACTCAAGTACCGACAAAAGCGTTACTCCAATTGCGATGGGGAATTCGCCTTGTCAAAAATCGGCCATCTCCCACTACAAATTTACGACACCATTTATACCGGCGAGGAGGAAACCAAGTAATAATCTACAATGCTCGGGTCTTGATCTATGGGTGACCTTTGCTCTATTGGGGCTTCGCATCTTGAGGGAGGACAGGCAGCTGGGATGTGAGAGGAGCGAGTGAAGAGGCCGCAAATAGGCATGCTGGAACTCTCATCTTTTGACTGTTTTCGACTTTGGAGTGCTCGTGGGCGCCGAGGCTACGATTCGAATAGTGCTACCTACAACTTAAAAATAGGCAACGATGGAAAATGTTGTGGTCCGCCTCCTGCTATTCATCTCCCCGAATTAGAGTCTGGGTAGCCTGGACACCAACCTCACTCGAGAAAGGGAGGAATGTGAGGCCATATCTCGCGCGGCGGCTATATACAAGATGACAAAGGCATGTCAGGGTAGCCAAAGGTTTTCCTGTTTGCCATTTGATGAATATTCACATTTGAGGGAAAGGTGAGAGTGCTTAGCACAAAGTTTCTGAATAGTATCAGCGAATGTACCCACTACATGAGTGGTCCTAATGTCAAACTGAGTTTTCTTCGTATTTAGTCCTCGTGGAAGGACTAGCCTTCTTCTTCTTGTCATGACCCATGATTGCTAGACTTGCGCCCGTCACGAATAAATATTCATTTACGGTATGATGATGTGATAGGCCTATTGATAGTTGTAACAGGAGTATATACATGTGTATGTTTATTGAACTACTTAGGTCCATGATAATGTAGCATGTTGGTCTCCTCTCCGACCCAGGTCATACCTTGTACAGAGCTCCTATCCTCTTTTGCCACGAAGGTGTCTCATCTATTGCCCATTTGATCTGCTATAAAATGCTATTTGTACCAGACTTATACCCTACACCCAAGAGGCGTGATATGGGTTTGTAATCTTAGCAGACTCACTACTACCTACTTGCATGGCTTTATTTTCCAGAAGAACTGTAAAGATAGAAAGGTGGGTGAAAGCGCGCTGTCCGATTCTTGCCAGCAATTTAATATGTATGACACTTGATACCCCTAGAGGAGCCTATGGGCCCAGCCTGAAGTTTTACCGCTACAAGGTTTCGTCTAATGAATTCAAAGAATTTTTCCTCACATACTTCCCATGATGAATAGCCATTGAGCCAAGTGTTTACCTGTGGAATACAGCCTCCCTTCCAGTGAGCCTTCTACCCAAAAAAAAGTAGAAACTGAAGCAATGGAAACTACGTGCGCGGGAGAAATACTCCGAGAACCTGCAGACCCAGCCAGGTGAGGTCTGAACACCGGAGATTCGTGAGGCGCGTATATAAATCTATTTCTCCCTTCTTTTTGACAAAAGAGGCAAGCTTGGTCTTATCAATGCCGCGTAGGAGGCTAGGTATGCGGCGGAAACTCGTCGGATGGCTTTTCCTCCATGATCAAGGGTGGGTGATGAGTAGGGCTCTAACCATGCCATCAGATGTGACGGTGGTTAACATCATGATAACGGAGATAGAGGGTTGTGCATGGGGATGAAGGCGATATAGACCACGATAGCGATTGGGAATCCTCATGGAAGTGAGGAGAAAGGTGTTGCTCAATACTGGGATCATAGACACTGCAGTTTGAGCTGGAGGTTCGTAGTGTTAATGATGCGAGTTGCTGAGTTTTCGTCTCCCTCTGCGTTCACTTGCATGATAGCAAAATGCGTCACAGCTGTTGACAAGCCCGATGTTGCTGTAGATATTATTGCCCATTTCAGCCTTGCGAACGAGGGCAGCCAGGCCTCTATGTTTTCTATCTGACAGTGCTATGCCCTGATATCCTTTCCACTCAACCAACCATCACAGTTCATGAAAGGGCGAATTATGGCGGGAAAAACATGGAGAAGCTGGGGCTCCCGTGTCACTGATATGCTGTTAGAGCACTGGAGGAACTTCCGAGTAAGATGTGCCTGAGGATGGACAAGCTCTATTTGCTCGGTTAGCCAAATATACGACGGGTATCGCGATCTTTGCAGTAGAATTGCATTGGGAGAAGGGTTGCCCGGAACCAAGCTGACTCTAGGATTGATAGAGAGCCCTGACCAGAAAAGAACTAACCACCGAACCAGAATACTAGGGCAGGCAAGAGAAAATACGAACATGCCAAAGACTGGAATAGTTTGGTTAGAATGGGGTTCAAACTGGGTCAATGCTTGAGTCTGCTTGGATCAATGATATATATTCCTGCCTGAACTCCGAGGCATAATGCAGGCAACCACGTTGGTCGATGGAAAGAATTGCACATGGCTGTATTTCCAACACATGCGGACAAATCTGTAGACATACCCACTCTCCCTAATTGTTTCGAGGGACCGGTCAGCTGGGCGCTGCAGACTGGTGTGAAGTTACGGAAATCCACACTGTGCCTCTCCGTCCTCCTTCCGACACTGACCCGAAAGTCGTGCTGAAATGTCAGAAAAGTCTTGAGTGCATTCGGTCGAGGATTCTGGCCCACATCCTTGTGGCACCTTGGGTAGTATGGAAGGTTGTAGACTCAGTAGCAATGTAGGGTCTCCCAGATATCTTTACAGATGATACGCGACGGGAGAGAACAAGAATGAATTGTAGAGGAACACCCATCAGTATCCACCAAAACCTGAATAGGGCCCAAAGGAGCACTTTGGCTTCAATGCTTATCTGTACAGAAGACATGTTTCCCGAGGAGACAGGCCACAATGCCAGTGAGGATATGCGTCCAAGAATACCAAGCACATGATCATGGCTTGCTCCGACTGGGCCAATGGGGGAGGGGAGATGCCGCGAAAGGCAGAGTCTCGGTCATTCGATGCGATGCGATGCTGAATGAGCCGAAAGATAAAGCTAGAATTACACGGTGCCTGCAAAAAGATGGAAGATTGGAGCAGTTTCGACTTATTTATCCACTTGTGTCCTATTGAAGTTTCCAACTGTGTAGGCCAGACTGTTTAGATACAATTTTTCTCTTTCATTCTAATTGGGGGGTTGGAAAAGGACGCGTTGCAGATGGGAATGCTTATCAGCTGCCCCTCGCTTGCTCGTTCAGTTCTGTAAGACGATCCGAGTAAACCAAACATTTATCTGCAGTTTCGACTGACGCTTGACGTCAAAGCCACGTTGAGAGAGAGTAGAGTTGGGGAAATGTGATCTCCTGCCAGTAACAGGGAAGTGGACGGAGTCCGCACTGGATATACCAGTGTTAGGGCACTTTTCAAAGTTAAGGTTACTAGCTTCGTGCCTTGTAGGCTCACAATCGGACTTATCCCATTCCATTTGTAAGGCTGTTCACGTGACCCCATTGAACAGTCTTGCTCGGAGTGACTTACGTAAGGATTGGGAGATCTGCCCGGATGATACACCACCGCACCATTCAACCTCAGCCGTGTTTACAGCGCCGTCTATACTCTCGCCATCTAAGGCCTGGCGCGCACAATGCATTCCACTTTGTAAGCCTCCTTGCCCAACTCCATACCTCACATCTTTCGAGATTGAACCTAACGTTTGCATCCTCTTGTCTGCTTGCGCCAGCCGGAGAATAGATGGGCAGGTACCACGGCTCATGATCCATTTCGCCTTTCTCGGCAGCGTCAATGGCGCTAGCTAGGTGCGAATCTGATGCGAACAAACAGCATGCCTAGCATGCAGCCATCTTCATACTTCAGAGGTATCTTGTCAGACAGAGCGCAGTGAAAGAGGCGAATTGCCCATCTCGACTTCTGGCGCTCCAATGCTTAATTCCTCTATTTCATGATATTGCACAGTCAAGTGCGCTGCGTTTGGCATCACACTCCTCTTTGCAGGGGGACTATTCTCAACACTTGTCGGCGGTGTCCCCTACGAGCCTCCAGCTCTCACTGTAGAGTCTATGGAGCCGAGATTAAGTAGCAAAGTCCTCACTTCGACGAGGATTCCCATTCGCTTTCGCCGTCTGTATCGTCTTCATCTCCATGCACATCCCCCCATCATCTTTACCATAGAGCTAACCACGATCAGATCAGATGTCGGGGTCGAGGCCCTTCTCATCATCAACCCTTGATCATGGATGAGAAGCAGTCCAATGAGTTTCTGGGCGTACCCATCACGCGATACAGAGATGCCGAATTGAATCAAGTCGGTCTCGACTGTTACAAAGAAGGGAGATATAGATGAATATGCGCACCTCGTATGGCCCCGGTGTCTAGGCCTCGTCTGGCTGAGCCTGCAGGTTTTTTGAGACTTTTTCGCGCGCACCCAGATTCCATTGCTACCTTTTTTTTTGAGTCGAAGCTTCCGTAGAAAAAGGTGGTCGTACCCCACGAGTAAATACTGAGCTGAATGGCTATTCATCATGGGCAATATATCAATGATATTTGGAGTGACAAAAGAAGATAGGAGCACTGTTCAAAGTGTGGCCTGGGCCAGAGACTAGCTCAATGTGCTAGATAGTCTAAGACTCAAGTAGTACAATAAACACACCTCTCCCTCTCTCTCCACCTTGGAGT